TCCAGCAGTGGGGCCAGGAAACTAGAAGTGGGACCAGGAAACTCCTGATATTTAGGTGGGAAGAACATAAGAGAAACCAATGTTGGATCAGGCCAAAGGCCCCTCCAGTCCAACACTCTGTGTCACACAGTGGCCAAAAATACCGGGGACCATCAGGAGGTCCACCCGTGGGGCCAGGACACCAGAAGCCCTCCCACTGTTGCCCCCCCCAAACACGAAGAATACAGAGCATCCCTTGCCCCAGACTGAGTTCCTCTCTATACCTTGTGGCTAATAGCCACTGATGGACTTCTGTGGACCTCTGCTCCATATGTTTCAGCGGTTTTAGTTAATTTTCAGGAGGCTGTACAAGGCAGAGGTTTTTCTGTCACACTTTTTTTAAAGCAAAGGATTTGGAGGGGAGGACACAGCATCCTGCAATATATGGCTTCTTTGGGATGGGTCTAGAAAGAAGCGGCGGCTCTGATATTGGGGGTTTTTTAGGCAGAGACGAGATGGCCATCGGGCAGCAGTGCTGATCCTGTGACTCCCGTGGACGTAGGGAGATGGTGAGAGGGGGGACAGGAAGGGATGAGCCAGTGCTTGGCTCTCGTGGCCCTTCCTTACGCGCCCAGGGTAATGCCGAGCCCCACTTTGGGGTCAGGAAGGGATTTTCCTCCAGGCCAGATAGGTCCCAGGATGCCTGGACGTTTTTGCCTTCCTCTGGGTCTGTGGTCATGGGGGGAGCGGCTGTGAATTTCAAAGATCCAGCCAGTTTGGTGTCGTGGTGAAGTGCGCTGACTCTAATCTGGGAGAACCGGGTTTGATTCCCCACTCCTCCACTTGCACCTGCTGATGTGACCTTGGGCAAGCCATAGTTCTGTCAGAGCTGTTCTTGAAAAAGAGCAGTTTCTGTCAAGAGCTCTCTCAGCCCCACCTACCTCCCGGGATGTCTGTTGTGGGCCGGGGAAGGGAAAGGAGTTTGTGAGCCGCTCTGAGACACCTTTGGGTAGTGAAGGGCGGGGTATAAATCCAATCTCTTCTTCTTCTTCACTCAGAGCTCTCTCAGGCCCACCTACCTCACAGGTGTCTGTTGTGGGGAGGGGAAGGGAAAGGAGTTTGTGAGCCGCTCTGAGACACCTTTGGGTAGTGAAGGGCGGGGTATAAATCCAATCTCTTCTTCTTCTTCACTCAGAGCTCTCTCAGGCCCACCTACCTCACAGGTGTCTGTTGTGGGGAGGGGAAGGGAAAGGAGTCTGTAAGCCGCTCTGAGACTCCTTTGGGTAGTGAAGGGCGGGGTATAAATCCAATTTCTTCTTCTTCTTCTTCTACATTGTTTTAGGGGGTTGGATTAGATGACCCTTGGGGTCCCACCCAGCTGCTGGTGTGACCTTGGGTCAGTCACAAGATCTCTCAGAGCTGTTCTCTCAGGGGCAGTTCTCGAAAGAGCTCTGTCAGCCCCACCTGCCTCACAAGGGTGTCCGTTGCAGGGAGGGGAAGAGGAGGAGATTGTCAGCCGTCCTGAGACTCCGTCGGGTAGTGAAGGGTGGGGTATAGAAAACCAGTCTCCTCCTCCTCCTCTTCTGCTTCTGCTTCATTTCCAAAAAGTACAAGCCGTTTTCAGTCGTTCATCCCCTGGTCCGATCCAATTTTTAAAACTTCAGTCGTTATCTGCCCAGCACCTGGAGTGCAGGCACTCAGTACTGAAGAAAATAACCCTGTTTGTGCACCAAGGTTATCCCCAACTGCATGACTTGTATGAATTATGCAGAGAGACTTCTGCTTGTGAAGAGAGTGGAGCAAAAGGATCTGCTGCCACTGCCGACAGCTCGAGTTCCTCATTACGTACCTGTTGTAAAGCCCATCTTTACACCCATAAAGTCTAAGATAGGGGTCCCCAACCTTTTTAAGCCTGTGGGCAATTTTAGAATTCTGATACAGTGTGATACAAAATGGCTGCTGCAGAGCATGCCACAAAATGGTCGCAGCGGCTTACCTTCAGTCTCACAGTTGAAAGTCTTTGGGCTGTGGTGGCAGCTGCTGCCAAAGCAGTGTCTTTAAAAATCTGCACAGCCAATAAGATCTCTGTGGCCAGTCAGAAGCCCTGCTGGGCAAAAGCCTCACCTGGTCCCGCCCACCCACTTCTTTTTTTAAAAAACCCCGAAGGGATATTTTTATTTTGCATTAGACTACAAACTACAAAGAAAATTAGGAGGTGAGAGCTACAAATAGGGATAAAGGAAAGAAAACCGCACTAAACTAAAAACCCAAGAGGAGGAGATCTTATTTCTGTTAGTGTAAATGTTAGTATCACAATATACTTGTAGAGTTCCTGCTCATCTTCCATGTTTATATGTTACTATGTTAGTTGTTATGAACACTCGGCGGGCACAAGAAACATGGACACCATGTTAGGGATTCCTGGTCTAGAAAGATGTTTTTCCCCTTTACAATGAACACTGTGCTTTTCAGAAAGCAGACTGCTTTGGTTAATGCCAGCCTCTGTAGGCCTGTTGTGCTTGTTCGGATTTTCAGGATACCACGCAGCTCCAGTCGCGACCAGTTTGGTGTCGTGGTGAAGTGCGCGGACTCTAATCTGGGAGAACCGGGTTTAATTCCCCACTCCTCTGCATGCAGCTGCGGGAGGCCCTTGGCCAAGCCATAGTTTTGACAAGAGCTGTTCTCTCAGGAGCAGTTCTCAAAAAGAGCTCTCTCAGCCCCACCTACCTCACAGGGTGTCTGTTGTGGGGAGGGGAAGGGGAGAGGAGATTGTAAGCCGCTCTGAGACTCCGAGTGAAGGGCGGGGCATGAATCCAATCTCTTCTCCGTCGTCTTCTCTTGCTTCCGCTGTTGCAGACTACCAGATCGCCAGCACGAGAACCCTTACGGGGGCCATCTTTTGTATACTTGTGCATCCTGAGGTGCACATCTATCCAAAGCTCCCTATAAGCCGTGGAGTCTTGGGAGCAAAAATCCTACTTTGTAAGCTCCTGGCATGAAAGTTGTGAGTGAGCGAGTTGGCTACGGCATAAATCAAGTTTGCTCCGGAGCCATTCCTTCCTGAGCGAAGACCGAAACGTGTGAGCCGGAGGCTAAAAAACTGTGAGCTGGCTCACACCGACTCAGCTTAGAGGGTTAGGGTTAAAGTAAGGAGAAGCGGGGTGTACGATTCCAGAAACTCCCGTTGGGGTTGATTGTGGAAAAAGGATATAAATTGACTGGTAGCTATTAGATGGTACAAACTGATTATTATTGTTGATATTGCATGTAATGAATATATATCTGTTTTAGAATATTATGAATAATACACAGTGCACTGTATAAGATGGAACATATAGAACACTTTAAATTATAAAAAAGGTTTTTGCAGTGTATATATTTGTTTGAATCTCAGGCGGCGGCAGGCCCGTAGCCGAGATTTTTTTTATTTGGGGGGGCTTTAAATAAGTCGGGGGGCACCCCGCACACACTCCTGCACACACACACACCGCAAAGGAGCGCCAGGGCTGGATGGGAAGTTGGGGGAGCGTGGTGGTAAGACAGGGGGCGGGGCCCCAAGATGCCCCCCGGTCGCTACGGGCCTGGGCGGCCGTGGCTTCGATTCCGTTTGGGACTGGGGAGCAAACCAGAGCCTAGAAAGCAATGGTCAGAGCTCCGTGAGGACCTACGAAGGGGAACTGGGTGCTTCCTCCCCCCCTTCTTGCCCCATTTCCCGTGCACTGCAACCTGAGCGTCCCCCGAATACCTTCGGTCGCCATTTCATCGCCATCGACTGCAGGAACTTCTCTCTCTCTCTTTTTAAGACTTTTATTTAAAATTTTCACATTCATCACCAATGCTCCCTCTAAGCTGTGGAGTTTTGAGAGCAAAAATTCTACTTTGTGAGCTACCGGCATTAAAGTTGTGAGCGAGCGATTGAGCTACTGCCCTGGAGCCATCCTTCTAGTTTGCTCTGGAGCCATCCCTTCCTGGGCTAAGACAAAAATCTCTGAGCCAGAGGCTAAAAAACGGAGCTAGCTCACACCAACTCAGCTTAGAGGGAACACTGATCACCACCGATACATATATCAGTTACATTAACCTGATTATAATACTGTGAGTCTAGTACAATGCTTGTTTTCTAACCAGGTATAAAACCTATACCATCTATCTCTAAACAAATCCTCGCCTTTTCGTAAAATTAATGACAATTTATCCATCTCCGTTATATCCAACGGCCTGTGGATTAATCCTTCCTTTGAAGGTATTCTATCTCATTTCCAATATTTGGCAAAGACAATACGAGCCGAAGTTAACATATAAGCTATAACATACTGATCTGGGGTTTTTTTACATTCATCTGGTCACATATTGAACAAGAAAATTTCTGGTATGTAGGACTCTACTGGTAGCAGGAGCTCCTTTGCATATTAGGCCACACACCCCTAGTGTAGCCAATCCTCCAAGAGCTTACAGTAGCCCCAGTAAGAAGAGCTCTGTAAGCTCTTGGAGGATTGGCTACACTAGGGGTGTGTGGCCTAATATGCAAAGGAGCTCCTGCTACCAGTAGAGCCTATCTATATCCATGATTTCTTTTATTAATGTATGTACTCTACACCAATAATTTTGTGTCTAGTGCGGGGAAAGGGGTTTTCATTTTTAACCCCCTCCGTGCCGTGCTCAGGTCTTGATCCTGGACGAGGCGACAGCCGCCATGGATACAGAGACGGATCTGCTGATCCAGGAAACGATCAGGGAGGCGTTCGCCGACTGCACCATGCTGACGATCGCTCACCGCCTGCATACGGTTCTGGGCTCCGACCGGATTATGGTGCTGGTGCAAGGACAGGTCAGGAAGATGCGAATGCTTTTGCCTTCGAAGGGTTAAAATAGACCTGAGGAGATGCGGTGAAGCGGCTTGGCAGAAAGGGTCTGGCAGGCAAAGCTTTCTGAGGAGGCAGGGATTGGCTTGGTCTCGCTGCCATTCAGTACAACCGACCAATAATGTGTGTGGAGGCAGCTGTAGCTCACTGGCAAGAGTATCTCCTTGGCATGCAGGAGGTCCCAGGTTCAATCCCCGGCATCTCCAGTTAAAAGGAGCAGGCAGGAGGTGATGGGAAAGACCTCAGCCTGAGACCCTGGAGAGCTGTAAAGAGGAGCTGTGGCTCAGTGGAAGAGCCTCTGCTTGGCATGCAGGAGGTCCCAGGTTCAGTCCCCGGCATCTCCAGTTAAAAGGATCGGGTAGGAGGTGATGTGAAAGACCTCAGCCTGAGACCCTGGAGAGCTGTAAAGAGGGGCTCTGGCTCAGTGGAAGAGCCTCGGCTTGGCATGCAGAAGGCCCCTGGTTCAATTCCCGGCATCTCCAGTTAAAAGAGCCTCTGCTTGGCATGCAGAAAGTCCCAGGTTAGATTGATCTAATTTCTGTGCACTGAGGACAAGCAAGTCCTAGGTTACAAACTGAACTCTCCAATGCAAGAACAAGATGCATTTCTTCCTTTAGGAGGTGCTATTGTCAGAAGAAAATTAAAAGGTTTCAGTTTTGTTTTTGCATGTGGGTGGGTATTCTGTTTGTAATAATTGTTTCGATACACTATATTTTTAATATGCTAGTTGTGATAATTTTATGCCAAGTAAAAATGTCCATAGTCATATTTTATGTTCCTAAAGTAACAGAATGACTTTCAATCTAGAAAAGACAAAAGAAATGCTAATGTAGCATTTTTTTCAATTTTTCCAAAACTTTCCGTTTCCCCCCGAAAAAAACGGGTTTTTTTCCGAGCTTCAAAATTTCTGGAAATTTTACATCTCTACACGTAAGTAAGATCAATTAAAATTACAGTATAAAACATAGCAGCTCAGTACATGCTGTAATGAGAGATGGCGAAGTTCTAACGACGTTGAGTGGCTGCCTACGTCCTAATTCAGGCTCCCGCCAGGCTGTTTGCTGTCCAGTCGATGGTGATGTTGGTATACAGGCCAGGGCCATGACGTTAAGGCAGCCCCTAATCGAAAGCTTGGCGGAAGAGCTCCGTTTTACAGGCCCTGCGGAACTGCGGTAGGTCCCGCAGGGCCCTGATGTCATCCAGGAGCTCATTCCACCAGTGAGGGGCCGCCACAGAGAGTGGTTCGGCGCCGGTTGGTTCGGTGCTGCCGTGTTCCGGAACATTCCCTTCTGGCAGATTGAACAGGGCTTGTCTCTCGCATCACTGACAGTCTTCCCGATTAATTTGTTCCAGGTGGTGGAATTTGACACCCCGTCCGGTCTCCTGTCGAACGAGAACTCTCGTTTCTACGCCATGTTCGCTGCTGCAGAAAACAAGATAACCGTCAAGGGCTAAAATTTCAGGGCAACGTCACTTTAACCAGGAGGCGACCACTTCCTGCCTGTGGCAGGCGGAGCTCCTCCTCTTCCTCCTCCATCTCCACGACCTCCTGAGAGTTCATTGCCTCCGCCCCCCCTTTTTTAAATTCTTAGCATTGTGGGTCAGGATCCAACATTTTTCTTTCCTTTTTTAAAAGTACTGTAAGGAGAATTCTTTATGGCTTTTATTACGGTATTTATTCCATATTCTTGTTACTAATTTTTTTTTTTGTTTTTAAATGCACTCTACAAAAAAAAAAAATGGCTCAGGGAGCCATAACTATAAATGTATCGAGAGGCCTATATTGAAGCTTTATACATGTAGTTATATCTATACAGAATTCTGTACATAGCCTATATTTACAGTGGAAATGTAAGCCGTTTATTTTATATTAAAATGAGCGCTGCGTTTCATACCAGTGCATATTCTTTTCTAGCGTTTTTGTACGGTTTTATGGTACCGGGGGGAGTCCCGGCGTCTGCCCGACCTGCATCGGACGCCTTTCTCGTCTCTCGCGGTCGGCCGTTCTCTCGCGCCGGATTTTCTCCCAGGTCTCCGGATGGGAGTGATGCTTTGCAGTCGTGTCCTCTTTGTGTCATTTTGTCTTTTGTCCTTGCACAGAGGGGAGGGGCGGGTGGGACACTCTCTACCCACGTGACTCGGTTGTCGGGCCCATCGCTAGGGAGCGTGGGAGGAGCAGCGGCTTGATTCCCCGGGCCGGGGGGGGGGGTTTCGTGTTTCCCGAAGTGGGGGTCTGGTGATAGTAGAATGTGCACCCTTATCCATTAAAGGGAACAAAAAGGACATTCTCTGTCAGAAGAACTTCCCCAACATTATAAAAGGAACACCTCCTGTTTCCACCGGTCAACCTCCCCTCGCCCGGAACCATAAATTAACTGTAGCAATGAGCTTCTCAAAATATCGGGGGGGTCCCCTGCTGCCGGATCTCATAGTTTTCAAAGCTGCCTCAGCTGAATTCTTGATCTTAGAGATGCTTCATACCTCATCTGGACAAGCTCCTCCACGATTGGCTTTTGATCGACGTGCGTCACAATTAACCGTCTCCGCTCACGTCCAACGGCGTTGATACCCCTTCCCCAGCGATTTGCCTTTTAAAAAAAGAGAGAGAGCCGGCTCCTGCCGATCAGGGTTTGACACTGGTGTAGGAAGTTTTATTTTTCTTACTGTAAAGAGACCTACCTCAGGTTGCTGAGTCCTGTGTGGTACGTTACCATGGTGACTGTACGCCATCCCTGTCGTGTGGGACCAGTAGCGCGGTCAATCCTGTAATAGCTGTGACTTTTAATTGATCAGCGTTGCATGTTTTTTTGGTTTGGGGTTGTTGGGTTTTCTTTCCCCCCCTTCCCGTCCAGCCGGACGTTTCATAGCCTTAGCATGTTTGCAAACCGTTGAGAGAGAAAAATCCGAAAAAGTGAATAAAAACTATTTTGGGTTTTGTAAAGTCTCGTGTGAAGGTGTGTTTTTTTAAAAAAAATAAAAAATAAATCTTTGTGCATGTGTGTGTTCATAGAATTATAGAATGTTAGAGTTGGAAGGTCAAAGAAGACGGGGATGGCATAGGATGAGATGGTTAGACGGTGTCATAGATGCAACGAATATGAAGCTGAGCAAACTTCAGAGGACGGCGGAAGACAGGAGGGCCTGGCGTGAGCTTGTCCATGGGGTTGCGAAGAGTCGGACTCGACTGTGCGACTGAACAACAACAAGAGTTGGAAGGGATCTTGCAGGTCATCTAGTCCAACTCCCTGCTCTCTGCAGGAGCATAGCTGAAAGATAGCCCTACAACATACCTGAAAAACAGTCGCCCAGCCTCCGCTTGAAAACGTCCAGTGAAGACGCATCCACCACCTCCCGAGGCAGACTGTTCCACTGCTCAACCACTCTGACAGTTAGGAAGTTTCTCCTGCTATTTAGCCGGTAACGACTCCCTTGTAATTTCCACCCCTTAGATCTAGTCTTGCAATCCGGAGCGAGAGAGAATAGATCCGCGCCATCTTCTACATGACAGCCCTTCAGATATTTGAAGACTGCAATCATGTCCCCCTAAGCCTTCCCTGTTGCAGTGCCGTATAAGTCATCGCTTCGAACTTAATGGCAATCCTATGAATTCATTTCCTCCAAAAACATCCCATCATTAACAGCCTAGCTCAGGTCTTGCAAATGGAGGGCCCACGGCTTCCTTGGTCTGAATCAATTAATCTCCTAGAATCATGGAATCACAGAGTTGGAAGGGACCATACAGGCCATCTGCTCCTGCCCCCTGCTCAATGCAGGATCAGCCCAGAACATTCCTGACAAGTGTTTGTCCAGCCGATGCTTAAAGACTGCCAGGGAGGGGGAGCTCACCACCTCCCTACACAGCTGATTCCACTGCTGCACAACTCTGACTGTCAAAAGGTTTTCCCTGATATTCAGCCGGGACCTTCCTGCCCTTAATTTAAACCCACGATTGCAAGTCCTCTCCTCTGTTGCCCACAGGAAGAGCTCCCTGCCCTCCTCTAAGTGACAGCCCTTCAGATACTTCAGGAGAGCCAGTGTGTCCCCCTTCAACCTCCTCTTTGGTGTAGTGGTTAAGTGCACGGATTCTAATCTAGGAGAACCGGGTTTGATTCCCCACTCCTTCACTTGCACCTGGCTGGATGACCTCGGGCAAGCCGTAGTTCTGATAAGAGCTGTCCTTGAAAAAGCAGTTTCTGTCAGAGCTCTCTCAGCCCCACCTCTACCTCACGGTGTCGGTGGTGGGGAGGGGAGGGGAAGGGAAAGGAGTTTGTAAGCGGGGAAGGGAAAGGAGTTTGTAAGCCGCTCTGAGACATCTTTGTGTTGTGAAGGGTGGGGTATAAATCCAATCTTCTCCTTGCAGGAGTTTGGTGTCGTGGTTAAGTGTGCGGACTCTAATCTGGGAGAACCGGGTTTGATTCCCCACTCCTCCACTTGCACCTGGCTGGCTGACCTTGGGCAAGCCGTAGTTCTGATAAGAGCTGTCCTTGAAAAAGAGCCGTTTCTGTCAAGAACTCTCTCAGCCCCACCCACCTCACAGGGTGCCTGTTGTGCGGAGGGGAAGGGAAAGGAGTTTGTAAGCCGCTCTGAGACATCTTTGTGTTGTGAAGGGTGGGGTATAAATCCAATCTCCTCTTCTCTCAGAGCTCTCTAAGCCCCACCTGCCTCCCAGGGTGTCTGCAACAGAAGTACTGTTCCAAAGTTTGATTAACTCGTTCCATTTGTCCATCAGTTTTGTGTAAGGAGGGGAAGGGAAAGGAGTTTGTAAGCCGCTCTGAGATACCTTTGGGTTGTGAAGGGCCGGGTATAAATCCAATCTCCTCCTCCTCCTCTTCTCCAGACTGACCATTTCTAAGTCCCTCAGCCTTTCTTCATAAGGCTTCTTGGTCTCCAGGCACCCAATCGCCCTCGTCGCTCTCCTCTGCACCCGCTCCATCCTGTCCACATCCTTTTTGAAGTGAGGCCTACAGAACCACACACACAACTCCAGGTGCGGCCTGACCAATGCAGTGTACAGCGGGACTAGGACATCTTGCCATTTGGATGCTATGCCTCTGTTGATACACTCTCATTTAGCCTTTGGAGTCTTCCTATTCCCCCACTGCCTTCATCTTTTCCTAGCATTATTGTCCTTTTCCTGTGCAAAAAGATTCAGGTGGGTAGCCTTGTGGGTCTGAAGCGGCAGAACGAACTTTGAGTCCAGTGGCACCTTTTAAGGCCAACTAAGTTTTATTTGAGGTATAAGCCTTCATGTGCAGGCTTGCAAATGACTTCCAGTCTGGTCTTTGCATCTGGTAAACATAAAGGTTTGCTAATTTGCCGCTCACCCTCTACCTATATGTATGGACTGGTATCTTCTGTTTCAATGTATCTGAAGAAGTGTGCATTCACACAAAAGCTTGCCAAGGCCTTCCTAAGAACATCAGAAGAGCCCTGCTGGATCAGACCAGTGGTCCCTCTAGTCCAGCATCCTGTCTCTCCCAGTGCACAACCAGTTCCTCTGGAGGGCCAACAACAGGGCATAGAAGCCGAGGCCTTCGTAAGAACATCAGTAGAACCCTGCTGGATCAGACCAGTGGTCCATTTACTCCAGCCTCCTGTCTCTCACAGTGGCCAACCAGTTCCTCTGGAGGACTAACGACAGGGCATAGAAGCCGAGGCCTTCATAAGAACATCAGAAGAGCCCTGCTGGATCAGACCAGTGGGGCTTAGTGCCTCTGAATGTGGAGGTTCCCCTCATAAGGAATGGTAATAACTGCAGGAAGGCTCCGATCATGAACACCTGAGGGCCGGACTAGGCCCTCTAATAATCACGTTAACCCTTGAGGGAAGCTAGGCTGCTTTGCCTCAGAGGGCTGTAGCAGAAATAAGTTCTTCTGCAAACAAAGAACTGAGGGCTTGCTGGTGGTGGAGAGCACCGGCAAGTCACAGCTGAATTACGGAGACCCCAGAGGGTTTTCACGGCAAGAGAGGGCCAGAGGTGGTTTGTCATGGCCTGCTTCTGCATCGGCGCCCTGGACTTCCGTGCCGGACTCCCACACCAACCAGGGCTGACCAATGCTTAGCTTCCAAGATCTAACAAAATCAGGCTAGCCTTGGCCATCCAGAAGAAGAGATTGGATTTATACCCGGCCCTTCACTACCCACAGGAGTCTCAGAGCGGCTTACAAACTCCTCTCCCTTCTTTTTCAAGGACAGCTCTTGTCAGAACTATGGCTTGCCCAAGGTCACCCAGCAGGTCCAAGTGGAGGAGTCGGGAATCAAACCCGGTTTTCCCAGATTAGAGTCCGCGCACTTAACCACGACACCAAACTGGCTCTCAATCCAGGTCAGAAAGTTGCTGCTCCTTTCCCACAGTGGAGACTTAAAAGGGCAAAACTTCCCTTGGATGACCACAGGGCTCTTCTGATGTTCTTATGAAGGCCTCGGCCTCTATGGCCTGTTTTTGCCCCTCCAGAGGAACTAGTTGGCCATTTTGTGAGACAGGATGCTGGATTAGATGGACCACTGGGCTGACCCAACAGGGCCCTTCTTAAGTTCTTATGAAGGCCTCAGCCTCTATGCCCTGTTGTTGGCCTTCCGGAGGAACTGGTTGGTCACTGTGTGAGTCAGGATGCTGGACTAGATGGGCCACTGGGCTGACCCAGCAAGGGCCCTTCTTAAGTTCTTCTGAAGGCCTCGGCCTCTGTGCCCTGTTGTTGGCCCTCCTGAGGAACTGATTGGCCACTGTGTGAGACAGGATGCTG